TAAAAAAATGGGAGGTTTGATAGACTTCCGCTGCTTTGTAACTGAAGCTGCTATGAAGAGAAGGAATGGGGGAGAGAATTCACTACATAATTGTTTGTTAGCTGGTGAATTGAATTACCTCACTGAGGGATTGATGGCTGCTGTCCCCACCCTTTTGACTTCCCCCAGTTAGTCCCATTTTTTCTTTTCAGCATTACACTCCCACCACCCTCGTTTTAACAGTTTATAATAGCCCACATTAAGCAGGACATGGGAAAGAGCTACCCAGCTTGCCTGACTCACTTATGTCTAGCCTTCTACAGCAAAAAAGTTGAGTCGATTCCAGCTGAGTGCCCATAAAAGGACAAAGAAAACTGAAAGTCAGCCTTGTCTATTTCCTCTGCTTGCTTGCAACAGACTTGTTGCTTCATCCTCGGCACCAGAGGAATGTCTCCCTTTTTCTATATAGTTTGCGTAACTTCAATAGGGATTACATTTGTTTGTTATTTTTTTCCTTCTATGATTAATATAGTAACTCACTTCCAATATGCTTTCATAATCTTGTCTGTAACAATAAAAATTGGGGAGATTTAAATTCCCATGTTAAAGCATGGGATAAAGGAAACAAGGATTCTGTAAGGGTTCGGTTGTTGTTAGTTGCAAAGTCGTGTCCGACCCATCGCAAAATTATGAAGGAGCAGAATGTCTTATGAAATACCTTCAGAAGACATTTCATTGATAATAACTCTCATTAATTAATGAGAGTAATAATTCTCTCTCGCACATTAACAACATCATATACCTGTTGTCAGTCACATCGTCATAATTTTTGTTTCCTACAAATATAAGTTTATGATTATAATGAAAGATGCATAAGAAATAATAAGAAATCTGCAGATAAGTGTAAAGAACCCAAAAGGTATATCTTTCTACTTTCCTGTTACTGGCTATTGCAATGACTTACAGGACAACCATACAAGTTGCTTATCTTGTATGGTAAACTAGATATACCTTAGGGCTATATCACTTAAATCCTTTCCCTTGCTAAACTTTAATGCCTTGATATACTTTGACTTAGAGAAGTGTCTGTTTTCTTTCCCTGGTTTGATGAAATCACTTAGCACTAAATTCTCTTCTGGCAGGCAGGTATTAAGTGTTGAATATAAGGGGTCACAGATCTGAAATTTTTGGAATATTTTTTCTGAGTGTTGTGTATCCCTTTCTACAAGAAAATTGGGAATAGAAGCCCCTATTGGGTTGAAACTCTGATAACTTTACAGATAGGAGATTAGTGAATATTGGTTAGAGGTGAATATATCTGGAGGAAAATAACTTATTTTAAGTATGTGTGGTTCAGGCTGATGGCAACAAAAGATTTACTGATAGAAAGACAACTTTGATTGTGCATCAGCATGTGGGTTTTTAAGTTTCCTAAAATTCCTCAGGAGTAGAACTGAAAACAGGAGTATAAAGAGAAATTTAATAAAACAATAGTGTGAACTGATGTATTGTGCAAATGATGAATGCTTGCAACATTTGATTTGCATATTTCTGAAAGTACTGCTGTCCCTATGTCAAATGATCGTAGTATTGCCCCTGTGTAAAATGACAAGTTTCAGATATTTTTAAACCAATCCAAAGATTTCATTTTTTCTGCTCTACCTGTCCTATCATGGGAACAGCTAAACTTACAATAACATGTTTAGAAACATACAATACTTTTCTGACATCTTTCACTAAGAAGTGTTCCCACTGGAGCTGCTTTGCATTGCCTCCAAACTCTAGATACCCTAATACAGGGCTTTTCAACCAGTGGTACGGGTACCACCTGTGGTACATTGGCACCTGGCAGGTGGTACGCGACCATCCTAGAAAAGTGGTAGCGGAGGAGGGGAATGAGCTGAACTGGTGGCAGCACCGCACAAGCCTGAGTGAGGGACGGCTGGAGCTGCAGGGCTATCAGGGCTCAGCGGAAGCGCAAGAATCAGCGCCAGGCTCCACCTGGAGCTGTGCACTCATCCTGGTGCTTTTGCTGAGCCCAGAAGAAGCACCGATCAGCTGGAATGTTGCAGCCTCTCCAGGGTCTTGTGATTTACATTCAGATGCTTGGCAACTGATTCATATTTATGACGGTCACAGTGTCCCAGAGTCATGTGAAGTGACCGACACCTGCTGCAACCACCCAGCAGACGGGGAATAAAAACCAAACACCCCCCACCCCACCCCCACTGCCAATCCTCAACAGAAATGCTCACAACAATGAAAATCTCAGACAGGAGGAAGAGCGCGGCCGGGCGGGCAGGCAGGTGCCTTGCTCGGCTGTGGCTTGGCGGGCACTTTTTTTTTCAGTGCTATTGTAACTTCAAACAGTCACTAAGTGAACTGTTGTAAGTCAAGGACTACCTGTACTTTATCACTTTTTTCCTTTTTTGGGGATCATCAAGTTTTTGACACCTTGCTAGGTGACTGGTGGTACTCGGATGCTGCAGTGGTGCAAAGGGTGAAAAGGTTGAAAAACCCTGCCCTAATATGTCCCAAAAGCTTCTTTACCTTTTGTTAAAATTGCTTTTTTGAGTTGGGTTTCTTAAACTTTTTTCCCTTCTATTCAGTCATGACCAATGGAGACTGCCTGAATAGGTCCTGTAGTTTTCTTGGCAGTTTTTCAGAAGTGGCTTGCCATTGCCTCCTTCTTACAGTTGAGCAAAAATGACTGGTCAAAGGCCAACCAGCTTGCTTCATGCCTAAGGCAGGAATAGAATTAATAGTCTTCCAGTTTCTAGTTTAATGCCTTAACCACTATACTAAACTGCTTCAAACTGGTATTAGTTGTCTGTATTGACATGCACTCTTGTCAGTTTCATAGTTTAGATTTAGAAAACTGCTTGCAGCTGTGAATGTCTTTTTGCTGTCTGAGAACAAGGCTCTCCTTCCCTCCCTCCCTTTGTTGACTCCACAGAGAGCAATAGCAAATCTGTTTACATTCATCAGAAAGTTGCTCTGAACACTGAGAATATTTTAGGTAAATAACTTTTAAGCTGGTATTCAGGTGTGTATGTTATGATTTTCTTGATATTTTGGACAGAGGTCTTCAGGAAAATCTACAACTCACCAGAAGTGAACCACTATTTACTTTAGAATATATATTATGCTAATATGGGGAAATTTTACAGGCATATATGGCATTCTAGCTTAGTTACTGATTAAGAAAGTTTTAAACTCAGCTTCTAGGGATATAGTGATTCTTTCCATGTGTGTGTATGAATTTCCTCTTCAAGCTGGATTGAGATAGATAGAGGTAAGGGAGATTTTAAACATATGAATCTATCTGAATATTGCAAAGTTATATCTGTCAAGAAACTTGGTTTTAACATCTCTGATCTCTGCAAATATAATTCAGTATGTCTCTTTAATTTGTCCAATTGCATTGTTAAATCAATTTTCAAAATGCATGCATGTAAAATTTTCTTCTACATGAATTGGTTGAAAGAAAGTAATTAACAAAATAGGTGCATTCAAGGCCAAGGGGAATTGACTGAAACCCTTTGATACGAATGTATTTCCATAGCAAGCCAACCTCCTTACTAAGCCATATTAATTTACAAGAAAGCATAAAAGTATAATATGCTGCTTTTGTAAACAGGTTTGTATCTATTTTCCATATTAAAAATGTTTAGCAATTTTAGCAGTTGGTAGCATTTGACTGACCTTTCCTAGTCTGTTTGGAATGGTTCATTGGGAAGCTTTCTGCAGGTTAGAGAGAAGTTTAAAATGCAGCCTGGAAGAAGGTAAAGGCAAACTACAGGTTGTCTTTGACTTATGTCCACAATTAGGATAAGAATTTATGCCATAATGTGGTCATAAAGTGTGGCATCACTTGACTGCTTTGCTTAGCAATGGCTATCTCAACAGTCCCCATTGAGAACAAGTTGTTAACCAAGGACCTACTCCAATCCAAGCCATTTCAGCCTTGGTTCATCCCAGCTCTGAGCCTGGGTTCTCCCAAGGTAAGGGACCGCCTTTCTTCAATTCCTCCCAACTGCTGAAGGTCAGGTAGGGTGGAAGGGACCGTATTGTGCAGGAGGCCGAAAAGGCATAGATGGGGAGATAATATGTGGGTGAGGGGAGTTGATCATAAGTAGGGAATGAGCTATCAAGCACCCAAATTTTGATCATGTGACTGCAGGAGCATTGCAGCCTCAAGAGTCACCATTTGATGGGATGGCTGATAAAACAAATTTAATAATAAATAAACCTCTGTAACCACAGAGCCCAGATATAAGTCCTTTTGTTCAGTGCCCTAATAAGTTTGAACAGTTGCTGAATGAATGGTTCTAAGTCGAGAACTACCCATATTTTTATTTTTATCAGGAACTTTGCTTACTTCATGGCTTTATTAATTTTAAATATTTAGCAATATAACTATTATTTTTAAAAAAGTTTTAATCTTTTTAAGGTTAATAAGCAAGACAGTTTTAATCAGGCATCTCCAACCCTCAGCTCTGGACAATTAGTAATGTGGCCCATAAGACTGTAAATGTTAACATTATTATATGATTTATATACATTAACTATATTTTATAATTTCTATACGGCCCAGGACAATTTCTCTTCACTCAATGCGGCCTATACAAGCCAAAAGTTTGGACAATCATTCTTTAAATTGAAAATTGCAGTCTTTTTCACAATTTGCATCAAGCATGAACTTTGACTCTAAGAGCCATTTGTCCAAAAAAGCTGCACAACAGTGCCATAGATATGACTCCATCTTAAAATTAAGGATACATTTTTCTGAATTGGTTGACTTCTGAATCCATACCATTGCTTGCTGGAATTGAATCTAAGCCTGTCTTCCCCATCTACTTCCTACCAGCCTGATTAATAACAACAACAATAATAACAACAACAATAATAATAATAATAATGATAATTTTTGACATTCAGGTGGGGTTATAGATTAGAATTCATAGATAGTTGTGCTGTCATAATATAACTAATGTTTGTTTCTTCATTCTCATACACAGGTTCGCTATAAGGAGGAATTTGAAAAGAATAAAGGGAAGGGCTTTAGTGTGGTGGCAGACACACCTGAATTACAGCGAATCAAGAAAACTCAAGATCAAATCAGCAATGTAAACTGGCCAGCACATTTCATCTTCTGTCTCCATGCTTCAGATATTTAAAAGCTTTTCCTTTGACAGCTTCATCTTTCTTTTCTTATTGCAGATTCTTGAATTTTGTTATTAAGGCAGAACTGTGGATGCTTGCTTATAAAGTTCCAAATGTTGCAAATATATTCCTGTTCATTTAACATTTCTCCAAGACACTGGGCTAAATTAAACTGGGCTGTAAACATCAAACAAGAACATGTCTAATGCATAAATCCCATTGCAGCCCTGAGGGTTCTGTAGCATAGAGAATTGAAGTGAGTCTATAATGAAGAGGGAAAAAGCAAAACAGAAAAGCAATTACTTAATTTAAAACTTGCAAGTCTGACAAATAGATCATGGAGCAGAGGACCTGGGAAGGGAATCCCCAAGGGATTCAATTTATTCTGCATGACATCCCCAAATCTTGAGGTTGGGGAATGACCGAACTCCTCATTCACAAGAATGGCTTCAGGGATTGAAATCAAAGGCAGATGGTCTCTGGTAGACCTGATTCTTTTGGATTTAACTAGCAAAAGTGACTGTGCCTTTATTAAGCTGGATCCTGTCATCGTTTTAATTTTTCTCAAATTCCCATTGTAAAAATAAATAATGGCTAACTTATATTTATTTGTTATTCCTCAGAAAAATAAGGAGAATGAAGGGGAGGGAGGGAAGACAGACAGGACAGAACAGACAGACAGACAGACAGACACCCTGGCTAGGAAAGGCAACTTATGGGTGAAAGAAAGGCGGACTTGATTACACTCCACAATACTGTATATAGGAATGAACCAGCTCTCTGTTTCCATCTTCTGGTTCATACCTTCTATTACAGTAATTTATCATGTGCAGAGGAAGGTTAAAGAGAATTGTTTTGAGAACCAATGTTTATGGAAAATGGGTTGACTACTTATAACTCTTGATTCTGGGATTTATGTCCTCCTGGAGCTGCACTGGAATTTGGTAAATAACAGCTAAACACCATAATATATTTTCCTGATGAATAGTGAGTAGAGAATAGATAACAAAAGCAATTTGGTATGTTAAACTTTTGATAAACAAATGTAGAATTAATAAAAAAGGAAAAATTGATAAACGTTTTAGTAATATCTCTATTCTGCAGTAACCCAATTCCTGATTCTCCACCCTTCAACTATTTGTATATTCATCTGTGACTTTCAATGGAAATTCACAAACCATCTGCAATTATTGAATTTTTCATTAAGACAGTGGAAACAAAAGTGCATGAGATAATAAAGGTCAGCAAGGAGTCAGAAAGATTTCATTAATGATGTGGTAAATACGTTATAAAGTTTTCCCATTTGTCTCGGTGCTCTTGCTGGTATCTTTTCCTTCTTTTGTAGATAAAATACCATGAGGAATTTGAGAAAAGCAAGATGGGTGCTCCTGGAGGAGAGGGAGGTGAGCTGGAACACCGTAATTCCCAAGAAGGTGCCAATTACAGGAGACCAGTTGAACAGCCACCTCTATCACATCAGCAACCTCATCATGCCCAGCCAAGTAACCCTGGTAATGAATAGGAGGAAAGAGAGATTGTTGGCAATCCCATCAGTGTATTCACGTGAATATATATGTATTAATTTGCCCTGCAGTAATTTTGTCTTGCACAAATAAGAGAGGATTGCCTCTGTTTACCCTGTAGTTATAAGGTGGTGTTTTATGAAGCCTTATAATTTATGGTTATTATTTATTTCTTACAATGCAATCTAAGAAACTCATGCTGGGATACAGCCTCGTTTTATTTAATTTAGCTGAGATAGATTGAGCTGAAAAAAGGTAGCATTCCAGAGTTACTATTGATAATTGAAGACGTACTTAAATCTGAGTCTTGCTAATCCCAACCATGTTAGTATTACATCATACCAGATTACTGTTAGAAGAATCATAGGATACATGTATGAAATGAAGCAATTCCCCAACATTGAGAAATGGGAGATGGTGCCTGTGCTAAAAAAAAGTAAAAAAGTGACAGGGAAAAATGTAACATAATTGGAAAGACTATATTAATTCATGCTAAATATGCCATTCTACCCCAGTTTATCCATCTTATATTAAAAGGTAAGACTATTACTGTAGATGAAGTCTGTAAATATTGTATGCAAAGCTGGAGTGATCATCTGTAATATTAGCCAAAATAAACAATTGTAGTCAACAAAAAGTATAAAAGTATTAGGACTAATAATTGTACATCTAAATGATATTGGTAATACTTTCCATTAACTGCTCATTTAATCTATTCAGTTTTATTATAATTGCTGACCAGTATTCAAATTTATGCATTGACCATGAAAAACTGATATAAAATTCAAATAAAATTAAGATTTAACACTATTTAACATTTAATAAGCATACAAATTGCTCCATTTGATTACAATTTATTCTCCCCCAAATCATGACACGAGGCTCAAAAAACAGCCAGACGGAATTTAGCAGTGTGGCATGTAATCTCATTCCACAAATAAACAGCACAAATTATTTAATATTGCAGGAGTTTTTAAAACATAATGACAAATAGAAACAAAGATGAAAACGAAGGATTTTGTTTTTTCAAAGTAGCTTTTCAATTTGTGAATTTTGCATCTCACAGACATTTTCATTAGGAATTTTGCGCAGATTCAAGTTGCACTCAACAGTTAACAATGTCTTTGTCTTATCTGTCTCTCCCCCCACCCTCAATTCTAGTTTACCATCAGCAGCCATCACAACAACCAGCCTCTCAATCATATGGCTTTAAGGAACCAGCAGCACCAGTCTCAATACAGCGTAGTGCCCCAAGTGGAGGAGGAGTAAGTATGGTCCTACATTGACATGTATGTACAATTTCTTGTAAATATTTCAGATTTTTATTCTGAAATAAGTTGTCTTAACTCTTAACCACTATCCTATGATATGGTCTATCTCTAAGGTTCAGGTGAAGACAGGAAGAAAAGTAGTTACATGTCAGAAAGGGTATACAGTATATTAAACAAAATTACTTTACATTATTGGAAAGGAATAATTTTGCAAGTCTTAACTTTGCATGTGAAGCTACAGAAGGCAGCTCAAAATACTGTGATATTTAGCCTCCAGCTGTCTGTTGATTCTCTGATTTCAGCTGAATCTTGAAGTTATGATTCCATCTTTTTAACCCTTAACTTGTGTAGTTAGAAAAGTCTCAGATAATCAGTAAAACGTTTAATTTAAGTTTCATTCAGTTCATGCTGATCTGCAGGACAGTGGAGTATAGTTCATTTATAAATCGAACAGTAAGACCAAAGTTCCTCCAAAATGGATAGTGCATAGCATTTCTAGGTGACCTGATTAATTTTTGCTTGTTCTTTTTAATTTTTTATATTTCAGTTTTGTAAAGCATAATATAGATACTAATTCAAGTATAATGTATAAAATAACATGAATTGTGTTTGTATGTAACAATAGGGAGGGTTAGCATAAGAATTAGCACCTACCAGAACAAGCCAGAAACTCTATTTGGGATGGGAGCTAATAGGAGCCAAAAGTTTAAATCTATCTTTTCACACTTTTCAGTAGATTGTTAGAGCACTGGAAAAATGAGGGATAGCATTAGAACTGCGCAGTATTCTTTTTTTCACTGTCAGATTGCTTCCGAACATTCAGTTAAGCAGAAAACAGAGAATGTGGAGCAGGGAGACTTAAAAATCCTTTGCTGCAATCTGCAACAATAAATAGCACAGGGGGAAAAAACTATAGAGGAGGACATAGAGCATATTAAAACTTACTGGAATAAGTGGCTGTCCAGGCAGATAATTCTGTGATTTTTAGTTGGTTTACAGCAGACATGTGAAACACAAGGCCCAAGGGCCCGTGAAGTGGTTTCATGTGGCCCGCAAAGCCATCCTGGAAACAGTGAAGGAACGACCCCCGCTGCCTTGGCCCTGGCCCAGGCCGGCCGGGAGCCAATTTACAATTTTGTGGTGACCATCTATGCTGAAATGCATTCAGTCTTGGCTCCACAAGGCTGTCTGGAAACAGCAAGGGACCGCCCCCTGCCGTATCAGCCCCGCCCCCTGGGTGCATGCTGGGGAGGTGTCACCCTTTGTGAAGAATCAAGAAATGGACCATGCCTTGGCGCTTGCCCCGGTCCCACCCCCTTCTGCCAGAGACCCTCAGATCTGTCCCACTCCTGCTCAGGCCCCCACAGGCACCCTTGACGTGAACGATGTAGAGCTGGCCATGCCCACCCACTCCATCCACGCCCACCCAGTAGGCTGCACCCACCCTGGCCACCCCCCCCCCCGAGGGCAACTGCAATGCTGATGCGGCCCTCAATGAAATTGAGTTTGACACCCCTGGTTTACAGGTTGGATGCCTTTCTATATTTTATCTCTCAGAGATGTACATTTACCACTAATTCCACTTGCCTGTTGATATGCTTACATGCTCAGATACAATAATGTAAAATACAGTGCATTGGATACTGCTGTAAGCAATAGGAAACTGGAAACCTTAGGAGATAAAGATATCTTGTTAATTTGTAAATGCCTAATAAGGAAAAGTGGTAAACTCTTCCTTTCTGCTTGGATTTCATTTTCTGCAGAAAAACTTTCCCAGTATTTGGAGATTTAGGTTATTTGAAAACTAGGGTGGGCAGAGGAATAAACCCTTCCATCAGCCTCTATTTGTAGACTCCTAGCCATACATCTGCACTTTCTTGAAACTCCTGAGTTGGCACAAATATTACCAAATAAAACTCATTGAATCTAAATATACATTAAAAATACTTCTCTTTTTCCACAGTTTGGATATCCATTTCTGAGCATTGATTTATCCTTTACTTTCTTCTCTTCCCTGTCTCAGAAACGGTTCCGTGCAGTCTATGATTACAGTGCAGCCGATGAAGATGAGGTCTCCTTCCAGGATGGTGATACTATAATCAACGTGCAGCAAATTGACGATGGCTGGATGTATGGCACTGTTGAGCGGACCGGTGACACAGGCATGCTTCCAGCTAACTATGTGGAGGCTATATGAGCTCTGTTGTAGGGCTACCCTGAAAGCCAGCAGGGGAAGGGCTCTTTGGGGGTTTTGTTCCCTTATCACTTATTTGCTCTTTCTTGTTACCCATCATTTATTATGTTATGAATCTTTGACATGGTCATTTTTTTTCTCTACCAACTTAGCCTTGATGGAAGGCATATAAACTTGGGAGGGGTATCATGTAATTCCCTTTCCATCCTTTTCCTCGGCCTTCATGGAACATAGCACTGTGCCCTTCTCCCTCTCCCTGGAGCTGTATTTTTTGGAATTGATACTTAATGAAATAAATCGTACTACAACTGCTATATGGATTAGGAAGTAGTGTAGGAAGGCCCAAAAACTGTTGATTTAGCTGGCGGAGAAGGAGAGGAATGTCACACTTTCAGTAACTTTGGGAAAATCTGAACATTTTATTGAAAAAGATTATCATGATGTCTACAGTGTTGACTTGCTCATTTATTCTATCTAATTTTCTTTTCCATTTGAAAGAAATAAAAGTATTTTTAAAAGGAGGAGCGCCTTTTGTGGACTCAAAAGCAGTGAGCATACGTGTAGTCTATGTGGAAGACATGGAAGCTGGAGCAGTTTCTGGTATAAAGGTACTCTATACAGATGGAATAGTTTAGCACAGCGATCCTCAATCTTTTCGGCTTTGCTGATTGGCCGGGAGGGAGAGGGAATGGTTACGTGTGAGCAGTGAGCAAGCGCGAGGGCAGCTCCATTTCCACAAGTGGCAGGCACCGCTGATCTGCCACTTGTGCAAGTGGAACTGCATGTGTGCACTTGCCCACCACTTCCGCAGCCCAGTTCCGAATGAGCTAAGGTTTGGTAGTGGGCTGGGGGCTGGGGACCCCTGATTTAACAGGCTTCATTATAATGTTAGCATTGCCTCTTAGATGCCACGACTCAGTCAGGGCGGATCTCTAGTTTGTTCTGATACATGGCACGATTAGACAGTAATCGGAAGAATGCTCATGAAGAATTGCCAGCGAAACATTTAACCTGCATAGTACAAAGACATCAAGAAACTCCAGTTGCCTTTTTTTAAGGCACCTTTGGGACAACTGTGATCATGATAACTAAGAACTTCCATGGAGGCCCCTTTTAAAGCCCAAGTATCAGTTTACTCCTTCTTTTTCCAGGCTCCTGACTTCAGTTGGTATTTAATGTGTGGAAATAGGCAAATTCTCCAAGTTTCTCTGTATCAGCCCTAGCAAAAAGAGTCACATTTTCTACAGAGGTGCTATCTTTGGGATCAGATTTTTGTTTTTCATAAGTTTCTGTTCAAAGTAAATTCTTGTATGAGCAGTTTTTAACTAGGATTCAAAATCTTAGCAGCAGATTAAGAAACGGCTCCCTGTTTGTGTGCCATTTGAGCCAAGCAATGTTTACAGTCTTTCCTCTTTTCTACTGTTTCTTTCGGGTAGATCTGGCCCTTGGGTAAAGTTATCAGGTGAACAAAGTTTTTTCACTAGAAATATTCCACTTTCTCCTTCTTTGCTGTCAGGCTGACAGTCTCTTTGCTGCTTGGGATAGTATCATGGACCAAAATCAAATTTCTTACAGAAGTTGCTATTAAAAAAATATCAGGGAACTGCTACAAAACTGGAAATTTATGTTGCTTGGATAATGTAATTGAACAACAAAGGTGAGAAAATTACTGAAAGTGTGAAGTTCTTAGATCATTCATTCATTGGGCAGAAACTGCTTTCTCTTATTTTTAAAGCTCTCCCAAGACTCCCCCCTCCAGTTCAGCAATGTACAGCCTGCTCTCTGTCACATAGTAGAAAGTATCCTGAAGCTGATATTTGTAACATTTAAATATGCTACAGTTATCTGCAGTGGAAGTAATCTGCAGGAAATAGGTGTTTATTATTTTATTTGGTAGCAAACTCTGTTGTGACCAAGATAAGTGAAACAATTACAAATGGACTTTCAAAGACAATTCAGTTATTCTTTCTGGCTTTGTTCTTGTTACCTCTCCATTGTAAAGGATCAACATGATAAATTCTTATTACTTTCAATTTTTATGCCATTCCAGAGCTGTTTATATAGTTTCTTGAGCTCTGCTTTTTCCCTTGCATAGATTAGGCACGTAAAGGGCTGGCATTTTTTCTGTATTATTTCCACTGTTTCTGGGAGTTTTTTCCTTAACTTTCTTTGCACTACAAAGCATATACAGTTAAGAATAAAAAGCACCCATTTCTTACAAGGGGTGCAAGCAAGGGGATTCATTAAGCAAAAATTAAGAAGAACCTTTTACCTCAATGTATAGTTCCTCCAAATTTAAGTAAAACGGTGTTCCAATATATCATTCTGGTCTTGTACTTCTTCATAGTTAGCATATGTTTGCTGGTTTCATTTGAGCTCCTTGCCTCATAACATTAAAAAGCTCTTATACATTATTCCAATCAGTATAGAAATAGTGATTAAATTATCAAGGCATCCTTCATGTTGTAGAAGCACAAACATTTCAGAATCTTATATCTTAAAAATCCTAGTCTCTGTTTTTCCCTTAAATGCTTGCACTAGTGAAAAAGATGTTCAAGGAAGGAATGTCTGTTTCCTCATACCATAGCATAATTCCATGAACTCTGTTGGAGCCACTAGAAAGGCCAGTGAGAATGGTAGCAGGCTTTCCTGTCAGAAGGCAGTTTGTAGAGGCCTATAGGTGTCTAGGGACCACTTATCCTTGAAGTGAGTTTTTAAAGGGTGCCAAGAGGAGTGACTGATGGGAGTGAGATCACTACGTTCTTGGTGCAGTTTTTCTGACTGACGAGAACTAGGCAAAATCGTGTGGACAATCCTGCAGAGGCTATCTTTTCATGAGGAAGATACAAAGTAACATAATGTGAATAAATATTTTTAGAGGACCAAATAAAGTTACAATAAAATAACTCATTTTTTAAAAAAAATCTCTTCTAGCTTTTTCACCCCTTCCTTGAAATAAATGGTTTGTTATTGCTTGGTTTATTTTTTTCTGCCTTCTTTGACTTATGCACTTTTATCTTTGTGATTTTTTTCCAATATCTGAAAAGCACCTAAACCTGTATTTAAATAAATAAAATGAAAAAAAAGAAAACAGCTAAAATTCATCTCTGTAGCCATTGTTATTCATGTCATGTCTTCTATACATCTTAGATTTTCAAATTAGAATTCAATGTTTAAATTAATGACTTTAATGATTTGTTTTGAACTATATTTTGGGGTTTTCATTTGTTATCTTTGTATATTTCTTCGCTGTGGGCTTACACACCCTCTCAAAATCATTTGGCCTTTTCCAATGGGACCATAGAATCAAATGTAGTACCAGTTCTCTTCTGGTTTATGCCAATTTAAAAATAAAAATATAATTTGTACCTGCTGACTGTTTTTGTTCTTCATTTAATGACTTTTTTTCTGTGGTAGAACTGGAATTATGCTCTCTCCCACTTCCCCTCCCATTCCCCTCTTTTTCTTTATAACTTTCAACTGTATCGATGCAAGAGAAAAAAAGTTGTTTTTTAAACAGCAATAGAGCTCACTAGGCCATTTTTAGAGTCAGCTTGATTACATTGTGGGACTGTTTGTATCTAACATTTGAGACAAATGGTTATGTGAACAAGAGTTTGATGGTATTAATTTTCATTTATTAATCACATTTATGTAACTACCTATCTCACAAAAGCTATTCTGAGCAGCGTACAACAATCCATAAATAGCCTATTTCAAACACAACATCCAGGATAGGATTTCACTGACAACTCAAAATAATACAAAGAGTATTTGTTCAGTATTTTGGAGGCCACTGATTTTATAAAGTAACCTTATGTTAGAAGAACAATATCAAGACAGATACTAGTTTTGCTAATGCACACCCCACACACAATAATAAGTAAAGTTTACTAGTCAAATTCAAGGACCTTTGATATTCTGGGTTGAATTAGGAAACATGTATTGTTAATCCCTCAAGGTCTTGTTAGTGCAAATTTAAAAAACCTTAAATTCTGAACTAAAGTCTTTGTGTCTACTTATTCTGTGATGAAGAGCTTGGTAATTCTAAAGACATTAAAGATCCGTCAAGAAGAAAATGAATGATTTGATTCCTATACAGCATTTTGGTATTTAATTTTAATATTTAATTTTAATGGATTTTTAAGGGAGGTGTATACATTTAAGATTACACTAGAGGGAAATATGGTGGCAAATGTTTGAGAATCATGGTATAAGGACATCTTCTTTCATGAAACCATTGGGTATTAGAGATTGTATGCATAGTACATATGTATAATTTTAAGAGGGAAATACCTTTCTGGATACACATATTTGAATTGATGCACTGTGAAAACTTAGCCGCTGTAATTTATGAACCATAATTTATGTATTAACATGCCATATCAAGCAATCGCAGCTTTAACAAACGGTAATTAAAAACCGTACATAAATCCAACCTGGACTGTTTAAAACCATTTTTACATCATGAATTCTTGATGTGTCAATTCTTGTGATGGAATGTGCACCTGGAATGGGGAAAAATTTTTCACAGAGAGAGGCCTACATTAAGAAACTACAATCCTGAGCTGGAGGGAGGGGGAAAAAAGTTCAGGATAGCCACACCTTAGAATCTCCGATAATATATTTAATAGGTTAGACAGTTATAGCTTTAATTTGACAAGATTCTGTCCCTTGGATATAAGCAAATAAAGGATTGGACTCAATTTGGATTTCGCAGTGTAGTCTCTGGCCTTGGGCCTGACATTGCTTAAGCTTATAATGAATTTTCTTTTTTTCACGAATGAAAGTAAACTCACCAGATGACTTACTAAACTTATTTTGAAGTTCTCCAATATCCTTAAAATAGTTGAATAGATAACTTCCAAAAGTGATTAGAAAGTGAGTGAGTTCAGTGTTCTTTAGAAGGGTCTGTTGTGGTTGAGAGTATGATGGTATTCCTTGTCCCCTGGCACTCAAACCTGCAGAAAAAAGACTGTCCTGCAGTCTCCTCACAAGGAGCAGCTGTTCAGAGCACAAGTGGGCAATCCTCTCTTTATCCAATTTACTCAACAGTCCTCCAGTCTTAGTCATGATCACTATCCCCACTCATTTAGAGAGGTCCTAACTTGCCATTCCTCACTCAGAATGATCTGTCTACCTCAAAAAAAATTATCTCAAATAATTGTTTTTTTATCTTTAAAAATGGGGGATTACTACTTTGAGTGTTAGGCTTATTACTTTGAATGTTATGGTCATTCTAACATTTTTGTACCTGATAAAAGCTTGGTACTCCATACAGTAATTTAATATAAATATAGGTAATGCAAAAGTTACATTTTCCTTATGTCATTAAAAAAATAACAAAAATACTTTATTTAATTAAAAATCAAATACTATTTACACATATATTCTAGCAATTTATACTGTCAAACATATGTTATTAAATCATAGCATCCCCAAAACTACAATCCCTTAATAAATAACCTCAGAGGTCACCCACAATCAAGTGTATGCTGAAAAGAAGTGT